CTATCTGGAAATATCTATTTTATCTTCATTATTGAAGGATTTTTACAGGATATAGAATACTGGGCTGATATTTTTCTCAGTCAAGATATTAATCCAGTCTATTCTACCCAGCATAGTTTCTGATGAGAAGTCCACAGTTTTTTGTTCCCTGTATGCAAGGTATCACTTTTTTCTGGTTACTCTCAAATTTGTCTCTTTATCTTTGATTTTCAGGATGTTGGCTTTGATAGGTCTAGGCATTTATTTTTTTTATTTTATTTTTATATTTATTGTTTGGGGTTCAGTGATATCCTTGAATATGTACATTTATGTCTTTCATCAAATTTAGGAAGTTTTGAGACATTATTTCTTCAAACATTTTCTGCCTATTCCATCCCATTTCTCCTTCTGGATTTCAATTACACTTATGACAGACCCTTTTATATTTCCACGTGTCCTGAGAGTCTGTCCATTCCTTAAATGCATAAATTCTACTGACCTATATTCAAGTATATAGACCTCTTCCTCAGTCACCTTCATTCTGCTTCTAAGCTCACCTACCTTTTTCTAATTTCATATGTTCTTGAATCTCTATTTGGTTCTTAACACTTTCTCTTTGTTTACTAGTAATTTGTATTTTTTCAGTCAGGCTAGCTTTAAACACAGTTCTGATATCTGTCTTAAAGTCCTTTTTTGTAAACTACACCACAGAATCAGGGCTGCTGCTGCTGCTGCCATGACTGAAGCAGCACAGAAACAGAAGTTCCAAAGCTGCCGATCCCAGACCTATTGTATATCAGGAGTCTCTTCAATCAGGAAGACTCTTTCACTATAGCTGTTCCACAGTCCCTCTGTATCTGCTACAGACTGTATCGTCATTCAAAAGGGATTCCCTGCAACCTGCCTTTCACCCAAATAATTATGACTATGTCTTACATAAGAGTAACTGAATAATTTAAATCATACCCAGAACCCTCTCTGAAAGAGTTTTTGAAATATAGTCTTAGCCTCTCTAGCACAGGAAGCATGCTTGAAGAATGTTAGAATGGCTATTCCAATATGTCTGCTGTGGATTACCCCTCCAATTATTCAAAGTAAATACACTCCCTTATTCTTTTATTCAAACTTCCCTAAAATATCAATAGCATAACAGTGTGCACCGAAAAAAATAATGTGTCAAATGCTCTATAGAAAAAAAATCTATGCACCTCTTCTCAAATGGAAAGATTCAAAATCTCAATCATTTCTTGTGATGTGATTTCACATGATCATATGATGATCATGCCTATGGTAGTTCGATCACAATTCTACTTTGAAACTTTGTGATTCATGGTCCAAATTATAAGGAAAACCCTTGGCAAATACCCTACCAATATACACATACACACATACACTTAGAAAGAAACAATCAACCTTTTTTGGCCTTCAGTTCTACATACAACTGGTTATGATTCTGTAATTCCTATTAACTGTCTTCCTTCAGTGCTAATCAAATTCCCCTATTCGTCCTCAACCAAAATCTCAATTAGTTGGATTTACCCAGAGTTTTCACTCCTGAAGGATTTTACCTTTTGGGTCTTGCCTCATAAAGTTTCTATAATATTCTATTTCCTTCTACCGCTTGGGCATGTCAATAATGCAGTGTAATCCCTGGCTTCCGGATGCAATCTCCCCTGCTGCCATTGTATCGTACATCCCTAGTTTCCTCGACCATTGAGATCCATTGCCCCAGCCAACACATGGATCCCTTGTTTCCCATCATGCATCAGACACAGAAACATCCCAAGTGTATCAGGCACCTGAATTCTTCAATTCATTCTCTGGAACGTATATATTTTGCTAGGGCCTTAAAAAAAACTGCCATCTAGCATCACTATAGTACACGAGCACAATGTTCTATGGAACGTTTTGATGATCAGAATCCTTTGAACTAAATAATGGCACAGAGCTAGCATGTTGACATAGCCTTAAATAGGACAGAAAAAGTATACTGCTGTCTCCTAGCTGAATGCAGACTGCTTCATTTTATCCTTATTGAGACATTAAAAAAAAAAAAAACCTCCCAGAGCAAAACCTGCTTAACAGGTATCAGGGGCAGTATTGATCATGCCAGGAAAGGAACTACATCTGGAAGAGTAGTACCGTGTAAATAGAAAAACCACCTGATTACATTTATGATATTTTCCAAAATCCTTCTATCTCTTCTGCACAGGTCAAACAGACAAATTTATTGGGCATGTGGTAGAAATTTCCACCCCTGCTTATTTCAAGACTTCAGTGTGGCACTGAGCTTTGCAATTCCTCCAGGTGAATATATAGATCAAAGCACTTTGGGGAAGGCTGAGTTTTTAAGAATGACTCCCCTAAACCACTGGGCCACCAGTATAGCATCTTGCTGCTTCTACCAGGAGTAAGAGCTTGCAAAAGTTCTTAATAACTTCAGTAGGAGCCAGAACCACGCCCCTCTGCCACAGCCTGCACAAAGCGCATGCCCTGTGCCTGCTTCTCTTCTTCCATAATGCATTTCTAAATCAAGGTCTCAAATGAGTATTTCTGATCAGCAGAACTCAAATCATATTCAAAATCCTAACTGCAGAGGAATCCAGGAAAAGTTATTTCTGTAATAGCTTTTCAATCCCTGAAATACAGGAAGATGTGCTAGAACAAAAGATGGCATGGGTGTTGAATGAGCCCTTCCATGATTTCTACCACAGTAGCCTCATGTATAATGTTATAAGCCATGGCCTCGTCAGCGACCTCTTGCAAAAGCTGCACTATATTTACAAAAGGCAAAGTGTCAAGTAAAATGTAAGGAAAAATAGAGGCCATTCTTATAACAATGTTCACAGAATTTTAAATTACCTAAATGGTTATATACTTAGTCTTTGCTCTTGTATGAACTTCAGTCATATTGGGGAGACAATAACTCATAGCTATTGCATTGTCGGAAAAGTCATGACGTATTTTTTCTGTTTTTCATTGCAAAAATGCATCATGACTTCTCTGACAACCCAATATATTAAGAATTATCTCTCTCTGATGAAAATTTCTCCTCAGCAATGTTCTCTAATAGGACTGTACTAACTCTAGAAAAATAGTTTTTATTTCTAGCATTTCTAGTAAGGTTAATAATATATTAACCTTATATAACCTTTAGTGCTTTCATATTATCATCCTATGTTATAATAACATTTAACACTTACTGAGCACTTACTAAGTGCCTGATGCTATGTTAACCATTTTTACTGTGTAATTCAATCTGCACAATTCTATCGAGTGTCTTCCATCACAATCACTGTTTTGCAGATGTGGAAGGTGAGATATAAAAGCTTAATTAAGTTTTTAATAAGCAGTGTAACTGGGATTTGACTCAGGTATTGCTGGGCTGTGGAGTCTGCAAACCTTACCCTGTGACTACCTTCATCATTTCATTCTCACTCTCTAAAGTCCCTTTTATTTTACTGTGAACTTTTTCATCACTTTATCTCAAAAAGAATTAAATACTGAGACAGGAAGTAAGTGAACATGTAAAGCATCCATAAAACACCCAGCAGAAGTTCTTGAGAGCTTAGATAAGAGTACTCTTTCATTCAGATTCAAATAAAAGTGTTGTGAAAAATCTGAAATTTTTTATTTGATTTTTTTTTTTTTTTTTTTAGCTGAGCCATCCTGCCACCTGTTGGCAGCTCAGCGCAGCTCAGCTCGGGTCAGGAATCAAACTGCACTCTTGAGCGAGCTCTTAACCAACTGAGCCACTTGGCCGACCCTTAAAAATCTGAAATTTAATAAGTAGTACTAGAGAGTTACAGAGGCTGTGAGTCTTAGCCAATTACATTATTAAAAAATAACAACGATAAATAACTATGGTTTCTATGGTGATAAACTGATGTTGTTTTATTATTAAGTTGATAAGATGATTTAGAAAACTATTATTAAGAGCTAGTTATGCAAGTCCAGACTTATAATAGAAATTTCCTTTGAACTCTATAATTCATTCACTTTCTTGTCACTGATTAACTTTTAAAGTTAAAGTATATTATTAAAATGTCAATTTGAGAAATATCTAAATTAAGTGTTCATCCTAAAGGACACAGGTGACATTTCCTAGTTTCATATTACATTATTTACTTAGCATTTTGATTTATACATTTTACATATAAAGGCAATGTCTCCTCAATATGATTTTAAGCTCACAGAGAACAATCACAAGGTAAATACTGTTTTTGTTTTGAGATACTCCTTGAAGCCACCCTTCCCCCAAATATATTAAAGGATATATTTAATGAAATTGCATCTATGAGTTATATACACACCTTAATGTGATTAATAATCAAATAGTTTTTTCTTCTAATAACTATACATGAAATGGTTTATTGTCTCCCACTGTCCTTTTAAATTTATTTAATGGTGAGTAATTTTGTCTCTAGATGAAAATTCAGAGTCCCTCATTTTTTCTCTTCACTCTAAAGTGGCTTCCTTTTACTAGGGAGAACAGAGAAGCCCCTCCCAACTGTCTCTCTCCAGTTTGGAGGTGAGACTCATAGTAAACCAATAGCTCTCCCAACAACATCTTCAAACCCCTTCCTCTCACCCTTTTTCTAAATCTCTAGCTCTAGCTCTGTCTATATATCTATAGCTATATCTATATCTATATCTATATCTATATCATCTATATCTATCTATATAGTCAATGAAGGCTTAAGAGTCTTGTTTTATCTACTCCTTTATTCATTCTCTATGTAGTCTATCTTCTAACAATTGTATTATCTTTTGATACTTCAGCTAAAACTTTCATTTCAGCACAGTCATACAATTCAAAATATTAACTGCTATATAAAATTTTATTACTTATATTAACTTGTCTATTTCACAGTTTTGCTTGAGACTAACCCAGAATAACGTTGACACTTTTTGTACTCCCCACAGCAAGGAGTTCAGTAGTCAAGTCTTAGGAAACGCCCACTGAATATGTTTTGACGTGACTTGATAGAAAGTAGAAACCTACTCATTTTTATCTTTAGTTTCAGGTGCAGCATTATGTCTCTCAGAGTCTGGTAACCCTGGGAAGGTGCAGCTTGTTGAAAAAATCTATAATATCTCAGCTCCTGTCAGAAATAAATAGCTTCACTGATGAGCTGGGTACCATCAATCAGGTATTTACAATTTGAAACCGTCACTCTCCTTTATAGGTAATAAGCTACCGTGTTTCCCTGAAAATAAGACCGGATCTTATATGAATTTTGGCTCCAACAATTTACATTTATTCATTTATTCATGTACAAGAATCTGCATTTATTCAAACAGTTATGTCTGGCTGACTATCTTAACTGGGCTTATGTTTGGGGTAGGGCTTATATTACGAGCACCCTGAAAAATGATGCTAGGGCTTATTTTCTGGGTAGGTCTTATTTTCAGGAAAACATGGTATAGGCTTTTGTTTCCCTGTCTCCTCACTTCTCTTCTTGTGAGACTAATAGTTTAGTTATTAACTTATTTCAAATGATGCGAATACTATTACTGTCTACTAAAAATACAGAAAGCTATTTTCAGAAATATCTTTTCAAAATAGTTTTCAAAATAATACCATCTTATTGTCCTTATTTGTATATGTGTGCCAAAGTTACCACTGGTGACAGCAAAAGAATACTTAGACGAATGGCCTTAAATCTCCAAGCAAGGAGCATGTTGCTGAAGGCAAGCAGTGAGAGAAAAGGGAACAGGAGAGCATGTTAAAGAGAGCACAGCCTCAAACTAATGGTTCTTTTTCCTAACTGCTCACAAAAATCATCTGGCTAAATTTAAATATCTTGTTGCCAAGCCATACGCCATTGATATTAAACGGAGGTCACTGTGGTCAGAGCTTTCCAGGTGAGTCCAATATGTAGCCAAGGTTGAAAACCAGCTCTCTTAAGCCCTTTTATCTGTGCAAAGTCTTATATCACTGGTGACAGGTGTGTCTAAGGAACAGCAGTCATTACTATATTTTAACGTTGACACTGGTATATTATGTGTTTACTTTGTTAGCTCATTTCATATTATTGCTGTGTCTATGATACAATTAAGCACAATTAAAGGAAATCAGAGGCAGATACACATGTTTTGGTAAAGAGGGAAAAATTAGTAAGAAAAAAATATATGTGTATATACTTTCAAGTAGTTTTTAACCAAGTACTTACATCTAAGTTCTCTATATTTAGCAACATCGTCCCAAAATAGTATAGAATCTAAATGAATGTAATGAATGACACGGTACATCATCTAGTCAGCAGTTTTGCAAGTGACTACTAAATGGTAAACTCTCTTAAGAACTCTGTTAGATATTTTTTTAAAAAGGAATTATTACTGAACTCAAGGAGTGAGAGGTCCATTTGAAAAAGAAATAAGGCACATTTACTAATAGAAAAAAAAATGGAGTGTTAAAATGCATGGTGCTGTTTCTAAGAGCACTAAATGATCAAGGTAGGGTGCAAGTCCCTGAAAAGACTTCATGGAAAAGAAACAACTTGAAAAACAGAATATAGAGGCACTGGATTTTTTGTTTGTTTGTTTGTTTAAATGCGTGCCCAGGGTTTTGAGGAAACAAGGTGAGTTCATGGCACTTATAATAAAAACAGGAAGCAATGCAGGAAATTAGTGTGATCGAATAAGATTATTTGTGTGTAGAATAAACTACAGAAAATAAATTTTTATTTACATATTCTCATTTAATTTTCACAAAACTCCATGAAGTAGTTATATTTTTTACTTTGTTTATAGATTAAGAAATCAAACCTTAGGGGGGTTTAGAAACTTGACCAAGGTGGTAGAAAGAACATATTCGTACACTAAAGCCATAAATTCAAACCTTGGTGTGTTGACTGTTAACGCCACTAAGAATAACAATAACACAGGAATAATAACTAGTTTTTGCCTGGTGATATGTGTTAATATGCTTTACATGAATTGAATTTATAATCAATTCTTTTAGTAACCCTTCAAGATGTTAGTATTGTTGTTTAAAGACAAGGAAACTATTTGTTGGCATTCTTACTAGTAGACAATAGCATTCACTCCAGCCAATTTAAGCAGAAAAAGTTGCATGGATAGCTCTGAAATTGTTGGGAGGACTGAAAAGACTGCAGGGTTTACTTTCACGGATGACTCTGATAAGCATGCAGAATTTAGCTACCAGAGGACTCGCTCTTTGCCATCATGACCAGGCAGCTGCCAGCTGAATCAGGAAGCTGCTGCTAGAGAGTCAGAGGGTCCAGAAAATAGTCCTGCCACAATGTACAACAGCCAAATGTGTGCCCTGTACCTGCCGCACTCTTCGATTCAGTTTCAATTATTATATAAAGTTTTTGTGAGTGCATCCGTTTCTGAACCAACAACAGATTCAGAAACCTAGCAGTAAGGACGTTTAGAAAAGGTAGTTTTATGTTTTTTCACCTTTTTCACTCCAAAAAGGTAACAGAATGACTATTGATGTAGTCAGTCTAAGTTTTCCATTACATATAAGGCTCAGAGATTCAATAACATGCTGGTAAGAGATGGAATCAGAGCATGGCAGAAGGTGTGCGTACAGGGAGGCCATTTATTTGGCACTCGCAATGCAGTGTATCTTCTACAAGCAGCAACAGAGATAACCACTGGATATAAGAGGTGTTACCCAAAGAACTCAAGGGAAGGTTTAATGTGAAGGAGAGAGGAGAATAATGGAAAGTAAGATAGGAAAAATGTTATCACTGAGAAGAATTAGGTAACTGGGAAGGAACGCTTGTTTGTGAAGAGAGTGAGTTGAGTTTGGATATATTGAAGTTGAGGAACCACTGAAGTAATCTAAATGTAGGTAGATATAAATATGAAATTAATACTTGAAATGAGAGGGGCATGCATTGAAATTTGGGAATTATCACTGTATGGTAATCATGAAATCATAGAAAGAGAACAGGGACTAAGAAAAGTAAGGTGGAGTGGGAAAGGCAAGTGTACAAACAACGAAAGAAGACAGCTTTATTTTAATATATGTTAAATGGCTATATAGATGTCAGGCTTAAATGGCTTAAAATTTTTGTCAGATATAAATAGTGATATATATTTATTACATATAATATGGATGATGCAGAAAATCTGTAAATAAATATATAAATATCAAAATCATACTTTACATTTTGTCTTTTCAGTTTTCTTTATATTTCTTGGACAACTTTTAGTTCCCCAAAATATTTGTATTATACAGTACATAGTTTTGTATTCTGGTTTCTCATGTAATATTATATGATGAGCTCTTCTCATATGATTTTAAATTTCTAAGAAAATGTGATTTTTAGTCACTCAATAGTATCTTATGACATTCACAGCCCTTGATTTAGTCTGTTGTTGGACAAATGGGTTATTATTGCTGTATAGACTTTAAACTCTGACATAAAATTTAACATCAACAGTATTCTGGAACTGATTCATGGAGAAAATTTCATAAGTTGATTTTATTGCATTAACTGCATTCAATTCTTTTTGGTGATTTGTATCCCAAATTTGCATACTAAAATGATTTTTTTGAAAAAGCATTTCAAAATATCTAATGATTTTTTAAAAATATAATTTCTCAGAACTTCTGAAAAAGAATTTAAAAAGTCACATAGTTTAGAGCAGAGGTTCTCAACCTTCCTAATGCCGCGACCCCTTAATACAGTTCCTCATGTTGCGGTGACTCCCAACCATAAAATTATTTTCATTGCTACTCTATAACTGTAATTTTGCTACTGTTATGAATCTTAATGTAAATATCTTTTTGTTTTCTGATGGTCTTAGGCGACCCCTGTGAAAGGGTCGTTCGATCCCCAAAGGGGTCGCAACCCAAGGTTGAGATCCGCTGGTTTAGAGTATCCTTTCCAATGTAAACAGCTAAAAATCTGATCAAATATATGAATTAGTGTTTTTAAGACAATAAGCAGGACAGAGTTGTGATTCCTGAGGTAAGGCTATAAGCCCCATGATTGCCTTCACTTTTGGCCACCAAACCACAGCAGTCTCACTCAACTGAAGAGGCAGAGATAAGAGTGCAGGAGCACTGATGTACATACAATTTCTGGGTCAGGGTCATAGAGAGAAGTAATCTCTGAAGAGGAAGAGCTCAACAAATGTGTGCAGAGGTTTTCTTAATTATTTGTTGAATACTAGGCTACACATGTATAAGAGGATTCTTCACAAGGCCAAGTTAAAAAAAAAATACAAAAAAGCCTCAAGAAAGAACTACTACAAACAAGTTGTGACCTGAACAATGCCCAGAGCTCACACAATGCTTTGGGGGCAGTCCAAATCCTATCCAGCCATATGACTAGACCTTAGTTAATACTCTGGGCATTCAGAAGAGACCCTAAAAGTTTACACTTTAGCAGTATAGTAATGTATAGTTCTCAGATTAAAGCTATGTTAGACCAATGTTAATAGAATTCAGAAATGAGCCTAGAGAGGATCTTGCTGATTCACAGCTAGATTAACTTCCTGCTGGAAAATCGTAATACAGAAACTCAACCACAAGATATCATTAATGTCTAGCATCCATTTAGAAATTATAACATGTAAAGAAACAAGAATGTATAACCCATAACTATGAGGGAAAAAAATCAATTAATGAAAACAGAATCGGCAATGACAGAAATAATGGAATTACTATGCAAGTACCAAAACAGCTATTATAAATAAGTTAAAAGAAAACATGAATAATATGGGAAAAATAGGAAATTTCAACATAAAAATAATAGCAATTTATACCGTGTCTTCCTGAAAATAAGAGCTAGCCAGAGAAGAAGCCCTAGTATGATTCCTCCAGGATATGGAGGGCACACACCCCTCGCATGAGGGTTTTATGCCCTGTTTCAGCGAGAAGGGTGCCTTTTCCACAAACTCCTTCAGCTTAAAATATTCAGTATGCCAAGGTGCCATGTTTTGGCACCTAAAATCATGCCACGGCTTATTTTCTGGCTAGGTCTTATTTTCGGGGAAACAGGGTACCTATCAGTAAAGCTGTGAAATGCTATTCTAAATAGTTCATACTCCTCCAAGGCTTTTGCATATATTTTTTAAATAACTATTAATTTTAATTTTTGTTATATCATTTAATTCTCCCAAATAGACTATGAAGTAGTATTACTTCCATTTTACAAAAGAGGAT